ATCAGTATCAATGTTTGGCCAGTATACGTAACTGCGGGCCAATGCTTTCATTCGGACGACACCTGGATGTGCAGAATGTAATTGTGACAGGACTTTGTGGCGCAAAGATTTGGGAATAACTACACGGTCACCAAACATAAGGCAATCATCAACAACAGCAAGGGCGTCTCGTCGATGAAAATATTGTCGTTCTGTTGCGTTGAGGTGTGGGGGCCAACCACACAAAAGATAGCGAATAATTGTCGCCAGTTTATTGTGTTTGTGCAATCTATACAATGACCTTGATGATCGCTAATCACTGTACAGACACGTCAGCCTCTCAATTACCAGCCCCACGGAAATAGAGGAAAAACAACGACTTATGAGTCAGACAGACAGATCAGATCAGATCGTTTTTTTTTTTTTTTTTTTTATTTCAATCATGCCTTTATATACACGCAAAATCAGACTGCATCGTAAACCAATTAGAAAACTGACATCAATACAAAATAACAGTAATAGTGAGTGTGAACTGGGGTAACGCATAGCAGTCAATTAACTATAGTTCATAAATGAGAAATGATATAACAACAGTTAATGCCTCAAACAAGAGTATAGGATAAGAGCAACGTCACAATAATAGGAATAAAATCCTTACTTTGTATACAACCAAAAATAATGAATCTTAAGCGGAAAAAACACAAAGAGTGGATGCACCTGCGCCATTGCAAACAATTCTGAGCCATGTCGTTCAAGGTTTCTAACCATCGGTGACTTTCATCTCGCAGACCCCAACCAGGTAGCCTGCATCTACCAACATGACTCGGTCCAATTGTCAGTGACTTCATGGATTTGTGCAACGTTTTGGTCTGGCCGCCCCTAGCTTTCTTTTACCCTACTCCTACACCACAAAACATAGCGCGTCGCAGCATTCGGTAGTTAGGCATACGTAACACATGTCCAAACCACCTCAACTGATAAAGCTTCACTACTTCATCTATTGATGTGCCATCCCTACTTAGAACTCGTTTCCTAACGATAGCATTGATTATACAGTTGTCCCAGGATACACGAGCAATGCTTCGGAAACAACGATGGTCGAAGACTAGTAACCTTCGAAAGTCCTCTACTCTTAACAGCCATGTTTCGCATTCTTATAGTAGGACGGAGCGAACTACTGCGCAGTACACTCATCCTTTGCTTAGCAAACGGATATCTCGCCTGCGCCATAGTTGACGCAGGTTGGCAAAAGCCAATCCATCCTTCTGTATCCGAACTGAGATTTTGTCAGCCACCAGGCCATCGACACTGATGAGACTCCCGAGATATGTGAAGCGGTCTACACGCTCAAATACTTCACTCCTTATCACTAGTTTAGGTGCCGATGCGACCTAATCTTGAAGCATTATTTTGCATTTCGAAGGAGAAAACCACATCCCGAACATGCTGGCATTGTGGCTTAGGATAGTCAAAAGACTGCATTTTGTCAGCATCTTCACCGAATAGAACTATATCATCGGCATATTCTAGGTCAGTAAGCGATTTTTCTGGTAGAACGTCGACTCCTGGAAAGTCGGACGAGGATAAGGCTACATCTAGGAGCAAGTCTATGACAAAATTAAACAAGAATGGACATTCATGACGGACATCACTTAAAGTTAAGAATTCCGATGACACTTAGCAATAAGCTCTCACCCAACCAGTAGTTTTAGAGTAGAGAGCTTGTATAAGGTTAATGTACTTCTTTAGAACACTTTTTAATGACAGACGCTGCCACAGAACCTCACGAATCACCAAGTCGAATGCCGCCTTAAGGTTCGTGAAAACAACTATTGTAGGATGCCTAAATGTGTTTCTGTGTTCCAGGACCTGTCGTAGTGTGAATATGTGGTCTATACAGCCACGTCCAGGTCTGGAACCAGCCTGGTTTTCTCGAGTCTGCTCTTCACGAGCTCTAGTTAGGCGTCTAAGTATATTCGAAGCTAACAATTTAGAAACTATATAAGTTAGACTCTTGTCCTTTCTTACAAATTGGCACAATTAGGGATTGGGACCAGTCGGATGGGATTGTGTCCAGCTCCCAGATCCTACCTAAGATTTCAGTCAATCCAGCTGCTAAAGCTGGACCACCATCCTTAAACATCTAAGGGGTAAGCCTATCTGGACCTGCTGCTCTCTCTCGCTTCAGATTTCCTATAGCCTTTTCAACTTCATTAAGACTAGAAGTACTTACGTCGATTTTCCATCCAGGATGACTGGAGATCGTGGGTAACCGAAGAGTGGCTCGAGGCCAGTTGAATTGATCCTTAAAGTGTTCTGCCCATCGGTCCAGTCTCCTGGATCGATAATAAATAATAGCCCCATCTTTTTCCGAGATAGTCTCACAGTAGGATTCCTAATACGTTTCCTTGATAGATCGGAAAAGTTGTCTACTGTTGCCTATCGCCGCTGCCTTTTCCATCTCTCTCGCTTTCGCCACCCACCACTGTTCTCGATCATTGCGTACGCTTTTTATCAGCCTGCGCCTAAGCTGACTTCGTTCATCATGTTCAGAGCCAGGTGGGATGAGTTTTCGAGCATCCATCAGTTCGGTGGGTGATACTGAGATCCACGGCTTCATTATGGCCTTATGGTTAACCTTACTAGCAGATATCAATGCTGTTTCCACAGCCTTTTTCATATCATTCCAACCTGACTCCGGATGGGAATCACTTGCATGGTCGCCTAACTGTTGTTCTAGTTCCTCCTGAAATATTTTCTTAGCTTGATCATCATTAAGTAGAACCCTAAGAGGCTTCCTTACGGTGTCTTTCCTACATCCAGTAAGCCTCAAACAAATACGTGCTCGCACTAAAGCATGATCTGAATCTAAACATGTGCCCCAGAACGAGCGACAGTCCTCCATCGGTGGCTGATGGCAAGGTGATCTAGTTGGGCCCAACGTTGAGATGACTTTGGAGGTCACCAGGTCAAGAATGCTTTTCCTTATGCCTAGAGTTAGTGTTTACTAGGAATAGGCGGTTATCTGAGCACAGTTGCAACACCATAACATCCAACCAGGTGTCTTTCATTTTCAATCAGTCTACCAACTTGAGCATTAAAGTCACCAGCCATTAATGCTATATCAGAGTGCCTAGCTTTTCGGGGGTCCGAAAGCTTTCTGTAAAACTCATCTTTAACCTCGTCTGAACTGCAGTCAGTGGGGACATAGGCAGATACGACGAAAAGGCAACAGCGAGTGTCCCTATATTCACGAGTCCTTACTGGCCCGTCCAGTCGGACAGCGCACAAGCGACTTTCCACTGGGATCCAGTCAAGGAGAGATTGCTCAGCTCTACGACACAATGCTATACCTACACGAGCGAGAACCCTGGAAGCAGCATCAAGGCTACCGGATACACACAGAGCAAATCGATCTGCTTCTTTATCTTGACATGGTGACGTCAAATGAATGATTTTATTGGGATTCTGTATGCGCGTTTCCGAGACGCAGCATACATCGATAGCGCGAGATTCTAAAGTCCTAGCTAATAAAGCCTGTTGCCCTACTTGACACAATGTCCTGACAGTAAAAGATCCAAAATGTAGTTTAGAACGGGGTTTCAGGAGACCAGGAATGACGTTTCGGGAACTCGCATCGTTTGCATTAACGGTGCAGTGTGATAAAGGAATGTGAGAAGAGTTAGTCGTGGAGATAAGAGAGATGTTAGGGAGTGTAGGAAGGATTTCATTTTGACCAATTTAATCTCGCGTGCTGTTACGGTATGGGGGCGGATGTCACTTCTCGGCTGCCCACACAGTGGGTGTTTTTTATTGAGGAACCTGAAAAGAAAGGTAGAATAGTGTCGGTCTCAGAGAGCTGAGAGCGTGACCGCAGAGTGCAAGGGACAACTGCTTGAGGCTTGTCACGCACGGCCTTTTTATGAGAAGTTTGTCCGAGGGAAACACCTTACTGCTGTCATACGCTTCTGCAATCAGCAGTACGACTTCGCCCTCAGACCTTGGGTAGCTGCTTTTAGTCTCATCGCTCTCCAATCGACCTGTCTGGCATGGCAGAACCTACAGGAACATATGTTCCAGCCAATATAGCTCGGTTGGGTCATCACGATATGCAAGCCCAACCACCACATCCAGGTAGCAGCTTCGGTCGGGGGTATCTAATAAGGAGCCACGTAATAATAATACTAACTGGCTGTCAAAGTTCCGGGTAGATGCGACCAACAACTTGCTAACCACCATCCCAGTACTTCACAGAAAATGAACGAGGCATTCGACAATAAAGCTGACTACAAAAGTGTAAAAAGGTTTGTACTTGGAAACAATTATCCTAAAAATGAATTCTGACTATTTGCAGGGCCAAGAAACTGTATAAGGATCAGGACCGAAACGTAATCAGCAGACAAGAACTATGCAGTTGTGATATTCTTGCAGAAGCGTTACTGACACAACTTTTAGTTGGGGAATAAGTTCGACTTTCGCTTCACTCAATGGCTTGATAAACTGAGTATAAATACGAAAAGCATGGCCGAATCCAATGTACGACAACATGGTCACTGAGTTGCAGACGATGCCAGCCATAACCGTAAATAATTAACTTAAATACACAATACCAGCTGATACAAGCTAACATCTCGTTGCTTGGGTGGCTCGAACTTAAACAGCAGTGGTAGTAGAAAGAATACTGTCTTGAGCTTCTCCTAGGAGCGAAACTCGAATTCAACTCGAGGTTCGGATCTACAATAAGAAGCTAAAGGCATATGACTTATTTCACCAACAGTAAGGCATAGCTAAAGTAAATCTAACTGAACAAGGTAGAATCAAACGGATTTATGTGACAAGCCTATGCAGATGACATTTTCGCCGAGTCGAATTAACAGATAAACTAGTTATTTGGCTTGACTACTTTTTACTGTAAGTTTTAAAGTTGCGCACTTCATCACCAGATTAGGATTTCACGAGTTACGTTCCTATTTTTGAGTAGTGAACGCATACTGACCGCCACAGACAGAAGACGGAGAACCTACTTACACAGATAATTTTATTCATAATACATCGTCGGCTTTGGCTAATGGGGATAACAACAAGCATGATCTCACCCAGAAATAAAACTGCAAAAGTAAGGCTTGTATTACCAAGCTAATGATTACAGATTTGGAATAAATAATCGACTATGTACAAGAAGGATCAGCAGGATCATATAAACTTGAAGATTATCTAGCGGCTACATAGTGCATTCAGATGAGGAAAATTCGAAAATATGCACAAGAAATGAACAATATAAAAATCCTAACCAACCATAAGTCCAATGCCGAAAGAGTATTTGGCTTTAACTTGGTTGCATATCGCGCAAAGAGAAAACGTAAAGGGAAATGGAGTCAATTTTTTCTCCAAAGAAGAAGCAATATTCCAGTTAGAATCCATTTGTGCTTTGAAGGTAACATTTGCCTTGGGAATATCATATTTGTAACCTAAAGTAGTAATATTTGATTGTTGTTGGTAGTTAGATTCAAACTCCGCTGCCAATTGAAGACTATCGTTTACTTGAATATGGAAACTACTGTGAAATGAATTTTGCCAAGGTCTGATAGTTGCAGCACCTTGCCAATAAGAAGAGGTGTATTTTGCACCGAGGCTAAAAACACCGTCTTGCCCTGCAGGTAGCTGAGGCGAACACTGATAAAAGAAAGCAGTACCGAGGGCAAACCGTTTCGTGATTTGGCGCATTACATCTAGCGCGGCCATGCACTGACCACCACCCACATCAGGGTTGATAAGGGTTAAAGATGTTTGAACTTTGGGTTTGCGATACTCTACACATGCTTGTTGTCCTAAGAAGCGGTGACGTTGTAGCTGTGCAATATAGCGTACATAAATGGAAGGGTACATTCGATGGATTATTTGAGCCTGCATATTACCATTGGGTTGCAGTTCACTCATCAAAACCGGATAACTTTCTGTATCTGAAACTTTGTCGTGCCCAACATACGTCACACCAAAACGATAACCAGATTGATCTTCCGAATTTAGTGAAAGAGAGTGGTTAACTTGAAAGTTAGGAGATAGTCCTTTGTTGACAATTAGTCTAGCACCTTCAAAAGGCACCGGAAAAATGTCATGACTTTTATTGTGAATATTTTCCATGGTTCCAGGGCCTTCAACATTTGAACTATCTTGAGATTTTGTCTCAGGCTCAGCAAATACATCATCCTTGAAAGTGGATGCATGCACTGCATTGCCCATAATTCTAAAAGAATAAGAAAGCTTAATAAGGTTAGAAAGTAACTGATTTTAAAACAATCCAGTTCATGCCAGATGAGATAATCTAAATTATAATATCACACACGCTTACCTTTAATAAAACCCGCGACTAAAAGTGACTACTTAAACACGCGTGTAAAAAGAGCTTTTGTGTTGTTAAGAAAACGTAGTCAGAAGAATCCTTTTTGTAAATGGAAGATTGCGTTTCTTCATCTTTTGGTTTGCTAAATAAATATTGTCGTAAGGAACGACTGCAACAAACTGGACATAATTACATCAAGGTCACATACGTTGTCGCACATTGTAACTTTTGGGATTTTTCGAACAGACAGTATTAAAATAGTTACAAAACTTTATCATGGAAATATGTTCGTTGGCTGCATACATTGAACGTGATAGAATGTAAGCATAAACATTTTTATTTGTACGTCTTTTTTCCCCATGCATAATATGTCAGGTTATGCGTGCTCTGGTAATATCAGTATTTCGTGGATAACCTTTAAGAAGAACTTGAAAGAATACATACACCAAGACATTGGATGCTCAGCGAAGGCTTTAATAGTCGTGTGGTTTTTTCTCAAAGAATTTATTTGATTAGAACATACATTCAGTACTGTTGTTGATGATCGTCCCTCTTCATCAGAAACTCGAATGACGTTTACAACTTTTTAACCGTATGGCTCGACAATGCCTGGTATTTCACAAATTCCATGGAAGCTGTTACTAGAAATGAATAGTCATAGAGAGCGTAGCGTCAGGGAACGGATTTATCGTAATCAGTGATTTTAAATTATATTAGGATGTATACTACAAATCTCACCAGGCAAATACAACGGCCATGACAGTAATATAGCAATTCGTAGGTTTATCATTTTAGATATTGTAGACCTACGTACATCAGGATCTTCTGGAGGGTTTTTGGATATATTTGTACAAACGATACCTTGATGGTGGTTTCCAATGATCTTGATCCTCAACTTTTGGTTTCCATCTTATTTTGATTCGGTATTTGCAACTCTTTCTGTGGAGACTTAAGAACTGAAGGTTTGTGGTGTAAATGGTTTTGAACCTTATGGTCCTCGTAAATGAACATGCAATAGCCGAGAAGACTTAAATTCTAGCTTTAATACTTGGGGAAAGTCGAAAAATATGGGGGAAACTAAATGATAACAGCCATGCTCAGATGTTCAGACATTGTCACTCTATATGGCCTCACCCTTCATATCAAGTTTATTAACATATCGCTAACTTCAATGTGTTTTAAAAATGCTCATATAAATAATACTACTAATTGTCACTATAGACTGTGATGTGACTTCAGCGCAAGGTGCACGAATGCGGTCTGAGACCTAAATCTTACACTTATAAGACTTCGGACATTATTGTAACGCTCTTGGTTTGAATTCGCAGAGCAAATATCATATTAGCGTCACAATTAAACCAAACCCTGGAAAGTTAGGTATTGATTTAAATAGGGATGTTTCTGAAGGTTACTGAGAGAGGTTTAAAATTTGGATTTTGATCAAGAAGGATGTCAGAGATCATAAAACTGTAGCCCATAAGCTTACATAAATTGAAAAAGATGCGAACTGATATCTAAAAGAATTAGCATTTCTGAATGAACATATTTTAGTTCACAGTGAAGTTACTGAAGAGCCACTCATAAATCACATGGAGTGTACAAACGTCAAATGTCGTGAGAATTCGGAATTTCCAGAGATGATCCTAGTTTCTCGAGTCGGGAGTGACTACGAGCACCATTACTAACCAATTACATTCTAGTCTTAACGCCTACCCTTGTAATAAACCAAAAGAAGAAGAGATAATCCTGATGAAAAAGCATATCTGATGGCGATTTCGTGGTTTCGAAAGAATGCCAAAATCGTACCACAGAAAAGGGGCGAAGTTACAGAGCGCTAGAATCAAGATGGTGAAGCGTACTGGAGCTATTTATCGCGGTATAATCAAGCTAAACCTCGTCACGGCCCAAAATCAGAAAACCAACTGTGGTTGGAGGTTGAGGTACACTTATTGATAATCTCGTGATATCTAAAAATATCAAGTTCAAAATAATAGCCGTGGGCAAAGCCAATGAGGCAACTGAGCAGTATGAGCGACATGTGACGCGGGCAATTATGGTTTTAAGTGCAGTTAAACAAAGGAGTACAAAAAACAATCATTGGTATAATTGGCTATAATAATGAATGTTTCTATTAAACCAATCGCGTTCTCTTTATAAAAGTGAGGTCACTACATGTTTACTCTGGAATTGTAGAATCGAACCACAAAATGCAATTTTGGTGATGGATTTCATGTTCAGCTGTTTGACTGACTAAATGCAGCAATTCACATGCCAAATTCGGAAAATGAGCTCATCTAAATACCGAAATGGTTCTATCATGATGCTTGAATGCTTACACTAATTCTAAGGTAATGCATATGACGGGCTTTCAAAGCATAAGAAATTCTACTGAACTACTCCATCTCGCTAACCCGATTTTTACTGCAGGATATATGGAGAGATGTGTAATCAACGATCATCATCTTTTTCATGAGAAAATCGGACAAAGTTCATCAAGAGATTACAAGGCAGCTAACGAAGGTGAGCACAAGTTCGATAAATGTTCTACGGGTGGTAAAGTTCATCCTAGTGGCCCATGTCAATTTTGTGTTCCAAATGCTTTAAGTGTGTTAAAATGGAATGCGTCAACTCATTGTGAACATTCACCTTCCATTCCGTTACTAATGATAACGACCGCTGCCGTTCAAATGTTGCTAGTGATATATTAACATTATCTACGAATTCTAAAGATACTTCTCACATTTAGAAGCAAGTATATTATTATTATATACCTCAAGTGAATCATCTCATGATTTCATTGTGGACATAAACCGTATAAAGTTTATTATTTCATTCAAAAAACTAACTCCTATAGATTCTAATGTTTTCATACGAATTTTTTGCAGTTCCAGCTTTTCTATTACTGGATACAAACTTCCTATCACAGGATACTGCGATTTGCTTACAGGAGACGACAGTTTTTCAGATATACAGAAGGCTCGATTGGCTTTTGCAAACCTGCGTCAACTATGGCGCAGGCGAGATATCCGTTCGCTGACTAAAGGACGAGAGTACTGTGCAGCAGTTCGCTCCCTCCTACATTTATGGCTGTGAAACATGACCAGTCAGAGTGGAAGATATTCATAGGTTGCTTGCCACCGATCATATGTGTCTGCGAAGCACTGCTTGTGTATCATGGGATAACCGAGTAAACAATGCTGTTGGCAGGAAACCAGTACTAGGTAAAGATGGTAGATTAATAAATGAATTATTGAAACTGCACCAGTTGAGGTGGTTGGAACATGTGTTACGTATGCCCAACCACCATCTACCTCGATCAGCAATGTTTCGTGATGTAGGAGTAGGTTTGAAGAAAGCTATGGGCGGTCGGAACAAAACATAACAGAAATCCATGAAGTCACTGACACGTGGACTGAGTCATGTCGGTTGGGGTCCTCGAGATGATGATGATGATCGATGGTTATAGACTCTGAATGACGTGGCTCAAAATCGTTTTCAATGGTGCAGGTGCAATCATTGCTTGTGTTTTCTCAAATTATAATCTTCTGAATTCCTCATCACCTTTATCTTTTTCTTTTTAAGTTTATTTCACTAGATTATAATTCATTGAATAATATCTTGGAGTCCTAATCTCTGTGATTACTGCAAATATCTTTACTACCTCTACTACTATGGTATTTTAATTGACGATTACATCTCTGTGGTAGTGTGATATGGCAACTTGAACTGATGTACTGACGTACGAAGTTCTGTGTTGTATCTCACTATACCATATCTATACTATACCATAGTAGAATCTGAAGACATTCCTAATTGACTTCGATGTTCTCAACTATTCGTGATCGATCACTGTACATTTTGGCGATGATTAACACTTCTTTGGTCCATTTCAATATTATTTACTATATTGTATGATTTGTTCTGTAGAACTTTTTTGAGAAGTGACGAATACTATTGAAAAGGATTCTAAATTTTTGACGATAATCAAAATGATCTTATCACTGACGGTCCTGACTGATCATGACCAGCGATTCATGTTTTTTTAGCGCAGTCTATTTTAGTAAAACAAACCAGCAGAAATCGATGTTGAGGGGGATGACTTCCATCCACTGATGTTTGTGGCAGAATATTTTGTTTGCTTCTTGCTTCTTGTGACTGATGAGATGACTTATCAATGTTACTAAGGTTGACCTCATATGCTTGCCACATCCTGGACTCATTTTTATATTTTTATACTGAGATCTTTATTCTGCTAAGATAACTTACAACATGCTTACACAGGCTGTTACAGTATGACTTAAAGGTTTACGTTTGTTGGGTAGAGATAGACATTGAACAATTCATTGATGAATGTTCTTCACGAACTTACCGCCTTTTGATCTGCTCTCCTATGTAAAGTTAATCACGGAAGTGATTGCAGTGATCCTGTTTTTCTTTACCTCTTCCACTTTTCTTCAAAATCTTATCAACAGTAAAAAACCATGATGCTTCTTCTACGCACAGTACACCTTACGTGTGCTCTCCTCAAGGTCGTAGCTCATACCAACGCCTTCGAATCAACAATTTATGAGAAATATGAACATATGAACATACTCTTCAAGTGAATCTGTCTGAATAACGCCTAGGAAATGTCTCCTGACATTTGCATACCACACAAGAACTCAGCTGATTATCTGCCGTTTTTGTAATCACATGAAGAAAATGTAGCTAAATCAAACTGTTCATGTTTTCGAAATGACGTGAACTTGTTATGTCAGAAAAAGACTGCCATTATTATTACAAATGAGAAACTTATTACATTAAGCGTAGTTGCATGTTTAACAATTTTTGCCTGTAAACTGGAATGTTTCATTTAACACACTCCTGACAAAAGTATTTTTATAATAAGAATTACGTTTTTGAACCCAAATAAGGTTTCTCCTAAGAGATGCACGAATTCAAACTCACTTTCCTATTGAACAATCAGACCATAATATTATTATCTATGGTGGCGGCATACGACAGTCACTCATTTGCCGACATTATCCACACGCTAAGCAGGTCGACAGCAGCAACAACTTGTAGATACGTTTGTACTTTTAGTATTGTATGAGCATGTGTAATTGGTTACAGTCTAAGTACATATTCATTGTACTAGTTTTAATGTTAGTCAGTGAAATAATTAGGCGACTCATTCATTTTCCTATGTATATGTAGAATTTAATCCTGTTCATTGGCTCGTCGGCTTTTGCATATCGTTTCGCTTTCACTTGTGGCTTTGTGACCGATGTAATATGACAATAAACATCATTAACGTCTGAATTTTATACATAGTCAGGCGCTTTCTATTAACGGTTATTAGGAAAAGCAGTGTATTAAGTCGAGGAATTATATCAAATATGTACCACCATAACTATCCTACAACGTGGTTTCATATAACAATAATATATTGATTCTCGAATAACTGCGTTACAAGAGTCACGCCAGTTTACAGGCTAGATCAAATTGACTGAACTGCCCTCCCTAAGCTAAGGAATACCTGTCTTTATGCATGTGGAATGCTGATGGTTCGTTGCGCAGTCACTTGCCCTAGAAAAAAATCGCGTGAACCAGCACGACCCCTTTGTTTACGTTTAGTAGCTGTAACAACAACAACATTTTGACTTCGGTAAAACTATTAGTATGGCAAGACAAGAAGCCACGAAATCGCATGGTCCTGTCGCAGCGAAGAGTCAACTAGAGAAAGCTTACAACGCTGTAAAGGTTATAAAACACAGATCGCGAACGGTACATGAATATGCATTTTGAGATATATGCTAATTTTAATTGAAATCGGGGACATAAAATGACACCTAAACTTCTAATCTAGGGTGTTCGAACATTGAAGTACCTAAATATAAACCATACATTAATATTCAGCCAAATAAAACTTATCAATTAAAAACTAGATCGCCTTGGTCCCTTACATCAGACGAACCGACTGAACTTGAATCCAACTCTTCCAAAACTTTCCTGGAAACCAAGACACTCTTCAGTCATAACAAGGAAGTGCGATCCGACTAAATTTTCGATCTCGAATAAAAATAGGTGGGATTCAGGCTCTAGAGCCTGCAGTGAAAAAGGTTGCAGGACCAATCAGGTGTCATTGGTTCCTTGTCGATTAATCCAACAGGCCAATTACTGAGTGTCAGGCAGTTTACCGATCCTCATAAAATCCAAAGACAACCGACGCAAATCAATCCAATATCCAATATCTTTTTCACGAGCTAGTGTAAACCAATTTGATTTCTTCGCGCTCGATTCATGTTCTTTCGGTACGGTTCTAGGTGTTCGGTAATGTCCAATGGATGGAGGTCTAGCCACTCGACTATCTAATTCTAGTCAGTTGGCAGTTGGTTGTGAGTTTGTATGTCTCGGGATTTGAATGAAACGTTTGTTTCAGGGCAGTAGGGTTTCTGGATACTAGCAGCCGTCACATTACCAAACCGGAGATCAGTTATTTGCAATGTGGAGAGTAATAAGGGTAATAAGGATGAAATTCTAATGATGATATGAATAAAATTTCAGATCTGAGTAATATATAGATGAATTTAGTTTGTTAATTGGTAGTGAGGATTGTGATAGAGGACCGAGTTGTAAGCAAGGGAGAGGAATAGGCGAGATAGATTAATTGAGTGATCTTAGGAGATGGCAATGGTAACAACCAGCAGGTCTCGATATATGCATCATGAACAGCTTGTCGAAGAGGGAGATGATAGTCCGTAGGTGAGTACGTGATTCTGAAGTCTCTTCTTATAGCAGTCCACTGAGGGGGCTGTAACTACCTCGACTGGGAGAGCATTCCAAGTTGCGACGACTCGCAATGAGAAAAAGTGTGCACGAATCTGAGTATTCGCTCCTTGATATGCAATCTTTTGAGAATCGCCTCGAGGAGAATGGTGGTGATGCATCGGTAAGATGCTCATATTGGGATGGTTTGGCGTGTTTAATATGGTGTACGCCATAATCAGATCACTTCTGATTCTCCTGTAGCTTAGTGGAAATAATCCCAAGAGCTGGAGTCTATCGTCGTAGGGTTTATTTTTCAACCATATCACCCATTTGGTTGCTCGTCTCTGCACTCGATCCCAGAGATTTATGTCTCATTTAAACAGAGGGGGTGCGATGACGTTGTGAACTTCCAAGTGTGGGCGCGCGTACGTCTTAAACAGGGTTAAAATAATTTCGGTGTGATAGCACCAAGCTGTCTTCGCATAAAGTGAAGAGTCGCATTTGCCTTGGTTGCATCCCCTACATAGTTTGGACTGGTGTGGAGGCTTTCTGTGGTTATTAAACCAAGATCACGCTCTGAGGAGACATAAGGGAGCGGAATTTTATTGAGAGTATAGGTCGTTTGCGTCATATGAGTCAGGAAATGCATGACACTTCGGTTGGTTGAGTTTTAAACCGTTTTTCACTGCCCGTTTTACAATAGATGTAAGGTCCTTTTGAAGCTCAGTCGAATCCTCTTTGCTTCTAATGGACCTCCAGATCTTCGCATCGTCTGCGTAGATCAATGCCGGTGAGCTAACTGAGTCTAGCAGGTCGTTAATAAATATCAGGAAGAGAAGTGGGCCTAGGATGGTCCCCTGTGAAACTCTCGATGTGGATACTCGCCAACTCACGTGCACTCTGTTTACCTCGGTGCGAAACTTCCTATTCTCAAGGTAGTTTCTGAGCCAAGATAGGAGTGGGTGAGTGAAGCCCATTTCCACAACCTTTTCGATTAGGCGTGAGTGGAGCACTGTGTCAAAGGCTTTTGCGAAGTCGAGAAATATGACGTGCGCCGGTATTTTACGGTTCAAGCAGGATGTCTAACTGTCTCATGCGATGAGAAGATTAGATGCACACGACCTGCCTTTCCGAAACCCGTGTTGAGCTTCATGGAGTATTTTATTCTTATCCATGTACTCCCTCATTTGTTCGTCCACCAGTCCTTCCATAACCTTTGATAATCGATCGCATTCCACGGACAGGCGCTCGACGCAGTGGTTTTGCCATGTACTTCCGTCAGTTGTTGATGGTCATATATGCTGCTTTTCATTAAATGCACTTATTTCAGCAATCCGCCTGGTTATGATAATGAAATGATCCAGGTTAAGCATTAACTACAAGGCATGACTTCAAATTATGCTAGGTCAAACTATTTACATCAAAGTGGAGAAGGCCAGAAACAATCGGCTCGGATCACCTACGTCGGTTTACAAATTAACCCCAGTGATGTCATGTCATGTATCCCTAGCCTACAAGTTTCAAGAGTGATAATATAGATAAGTACTGCCAACCCTTCGGCACAGAGACTGATAATAATTATCAAAGCACTAAATTCACCGCCCACTAACCGCAGCGTAGTGCAAGTAATAAGTGTAGTAATGAAAGATTCTCCATCCTGAACCCTTTCTCAAGTATCCAGATCTATAACCATAATACCGTCAAAACAAAATTTGGTTACATATTACCTTACTAATCCAGCTGGCAAAAACGACACCCCAACTATAAACATGATCATAATAACTGAAAATTTTATGCAGCAAATCATCCTTGAGTCAGAATTGATCCGAATAACTATGGCCAAAGCTATGAGCTTTACCATAAAAACCCTACAAAACCCACATTCGACCTGTTCAAGATGTTTTCGGGAGATGGATATTGAGCTACCCCTGGAATAGCATATAGCCGAAGCCACTTCACAGCACATGCAGAAATAAAGCTCGCTTTTCTCACAAAACCGAAGGCAGATAACGTTCCCTTCCTTCCCTCTGGGCTTTCAACCTCTCCAGGCAACTTCACGGGTTCACCTATTACATCCCTATATAACAAATGTTACCAACAAAATGAGTGATTGAAGAACAACTACTGCCTAACTTTAAAACCGTATCACATTCCTGAAGGTCCTAATAACTCCTCCTCAACTATTCTAACTTAGAATGAAAATCTTTAATTTGCATATTTTCAATGGTCGTTCGATCCCGAGTAAAGCCACGGATTTAGCAATGTTTGCATCTGTTTATCAACATCCATTTATTATGATATCTGAAGTGATGACTACCGGTATTAATTGGGTTTTTCGAAAGCTGTTTACCATTCTCAAGTGGCAGGTTACAAGGACGAGGTGGAGGATGCTCGAAATATTTCTATTATAGCCTAAACTCACTAGTATGTAATGTATCTGCATTAAACAACCTAGATCCGAAACACTTAGACTGAGTTATTTCACTGTCTGAATCAACCTAACATCAGAATAAGGCACTTCAGTGACCAGTAAATAGTCCTATCAGTCTCTGACATTGATGCTGACCTTATTAGTTTTGCCTGACACACTCAATCTTAAGGAGCTTGGTCACGCATCCGCATCAGATCACCAAACTGTACTGCAAACAACGTATTCGTTCTTATCGACACTGGAACATACGCTTCAACCGTCTAGGATTGAAACGACTGAGCATCTGAACATCCAACTCATGTCAATCTGTCCTGACTGTCCTACCTGGTTCTGTCGACTCCCACATGCACGCAGTGACGGACCAAGGTGTGCAGTTCGTCGCTATCGTAAAGGCACTACTGCGTAAGTTTAACAGGCACATTATACATACTATAGTTACTAGTGTTTCTGTTTCGAACACCAAAACTTTCTAAAAAGGCGAGTTTCGAATTCGGTCACATAGCCGATCAACAGGGGTTAAACCACTTTTTACACAACATTGGACAGCAACATGGCTCCCCAGTAGATACAAGCTGTTATTCACTCATTTCAGATAGCGTTAAAGCCAAACTAACTTCATTTGTCAGCCGGATATTAGAGACAACTAGAGACTCTATCTAAGAGGTTTATTTTACCGAACAAATCTCGAGACATGAAAATCCACACAAAACTGCCAATTAAATAGAATTAGACAATAAAAAGGGTAGACTCCCATTCATCAGACACAACCTAACACCTGGAACCTTACCGAAAGAACAAAAATCGAACTCAAAGAAATCAATTGATTTATATTTGCTCGTAAAAAATATTGGGTGCGCTTGAAGGCCTCGAAAAGTATTTCATCACGATCTACTAGTATTCCTCAGCCAGTTGAATATACACAGGCCCCTACTGAACGCGCTGCATTTGTACTTGGTGTTACTTTACGTTTGCTCCACTGCTTCCAAGTAATATAACAGCTTGTTTGCATTTCGTGAAAACTAATTGACTTGAGTTCAAGAACTAGTTACTTCACCGAGAAAGTGTTCATGTAGAGAACTTAAGGTTTTAAGGTTAATTTCGAAATACTGTACGTTTGCAAAAATAGTGAAAATTCGCTATTTAGATAACCAGTCGTCAATTCTGGGCTTGGTAAATCTATTTTTATCCAGAAGCAAGGACTCGTGTCTACCACCTTAATGAAGGTGTTTTTTACTAAGCTTCGTTGTATCCAGTGATATTTTTCCATGTGCGCTAATTCTAATAAGTTTTCCAGATCTTTCTAACATCCCATTGTACCTTATTTTGTACTCCATATCTTGATATCATCTCGTTCTTATGAGGCTAGTGACAGATGAAAGTTTGGAAATTCATAAAAAAGCAGGAAGATATACTCCATAAACTCACCAAATATGTTTGTCATACGGCGTAGAGCTTACCCACACTTTATAAGCCCCCAACAAGGTCATTTGTGCATATAAGCAATACTAACTGAAAGCAGAAAAATGTCACTGTTCTCCTAAAGTAACATGTACCAAAATATTATACTGCATTGTCTGGAAGTTTTTAACTTTAGTCTTCCTTTATCTCTTATAGATTATAGTCCTGGTTTGGGAACAGCCATTGTTATATCTGTACATCCTTACCTTGCCTTCATATATTAACGTTCCTACAATTTAGGCACTAGCTTTCCAACGAGTCACATAATGTTAGAAGATGAGTTCGCTGAGCTGGATGTAAGTGTTTTATTATAATCATGCTTTTTCCTCAGCTAAATGAAAACTCAGAAAACATCTTAAATGTATCGTTAAATTCTGAGTCCTGTCTGCGAACTGGATTTACACCTGAACGAAACGTTGCACATGACTCATCACCAGCTGACATTAGAAAAGATACTGAAGTATGTTCAGCGTTATTTTAGTAAAACTCAGAATACTGTTTCCGATGTCGCATTTGTAAAAATCACAAGCCCTGAAAAAGTTGGTGGAGGGATTTCATCATACATAGTATATCGTGTCATTACCAAGGTTCGTGATTTAAATAACCTTATTTTTAAGTTTAATGACAAGGAGTTTTCAGTCCTCAGACGGTTTTCTGATTTCCTTGGGCTTCACGAGAGGTTGGTCTCGAAGTATCTCTCTGAAGGAATTATCGTACCCCATGCTCCTTCTAAAGATATGTTAGGTAATGATTTAGTTTCGTCTTATATTCTTCAGCTACAACTAAAGTTAAAATATCGAAGGACGCTTCTACAGAAAATGAGTTTGTTGAACGTCGTCGGATAGCTCTAGAACGGTAAGAATTTCGTTAGTCATTTCACAGATTTCTATCCCGAGTACTCTCACATCCAGTTTTGCGTATTGATGAATACGTTTGTGAGTTTATTCAGCATGATGGAGAACTTCCACGTGCAACAAACACCCAACTGTTATCCGGTGCTGCAGCGATAAAAGCGATGAAAAATTTGGGTGGTGCGATTGGAAAGCTTGCTTACAAAGTTGATGACCCGGAAGAGGTAAGTATTAAAAGATTTCTGAAGGTTAATGTGATATTCGATAGCATGACAAATGTTATCCGTTAATAAATATAGAGAAGTCTTCTTCATCTCATATAAGGCTTTCGGATAGACAAAAAGGCTATGTAAAATGTTCGAAAATTCCTACCATTATAGGCTTAAAGGAATCCTAGCGCCTAATAAACTATTTTGTTCAAAAGAACAGTTTATAAACGTAGTAATAAAGAAGATACCTGAGTCATTTATCGCTTTAATGTAACTAAAATTAGTGGTGCTACTCACGTAATTTCGTTGCTCTAGTGACCATAAAATGCCGTAAAAGAACTGATGATACTATCTGTTCGTCCGAAACCTTTTGAACGGATCGAAACTAGAACGCTTTACTCTGTAGCTAAAAATAGTTTAGCTAAACTTCGGAGCCGTGCATCACTGCCTAATGTATTCGAAAGTACGATGTGTATGATGTGTTGATAATGTTTTCGAGTTTACACATCAGATGCACCTGTTGCGGAAATCATGTTAATCATTTGCCAATCGCATGATTTTGTATACTCGACTTTGACCCATATTCTCTGTGAGAATATCGATAGTAGTTGGATACCTACATTGGGATAAACAGGATGGCGTCAAAACTTACGACCTACTGTTTGAAAGCCAAGCGCCCCAATCACCTAGCTAATACTATGTAAATGGAGTCCAGCTGATTTCGCGATCTCTTATGCTTATAAACTTTGTCAAACAGAAACATGGAACACGATATTCTATGTTATGAAGTAGTTCATATCACATGCATCTCATACAGTAAAAACATGCAGCGCAAAATGGTGCAACTCCGCCAGTAGAACCTTCGGGGCTACTGCCTGTCCCAAGCCCGGATATAGGAGGAGGGTTGGGCATGGGGTTGGCAACCCCATTCCGTCAAAAAGTAACTTGCCAAAAAACGCTAACCAGAAAAAAACTGGTGGGCGGCCTATGCTCCATTGGGGGTAACAGGCGTAAGTAAGTAAGTAAAATGGTGCACAGTAATACACTAGTTCAAATCACTTCACAATATCAGATGGAATGAAAACTAACGATACAAAAAAGATGCAAGCAACATTGTACAAATAGATAAAAGATATTAGTGTCCAAGAATTATAAAAGGGTAGACAAAAAGTGTGTCTGGATTTATGTGATCAGCTTCAAACTTTGACACCTAAGTTCTTTGAATGTTTCGAAAGTATAATTCAACTGTTCCTCGTACAAACATTTTTAACAATGTGATGTTTCACATTGCCGGCTAGTCCTAGTCTTCTTGGTTAAAAAAATAATACATATCTAAACCCATTGTCGCATTTGCTTTCGATGAAATCTTATCATGGTCTATACTGTATGGTTTTCAGAATACTGCTGAGAAGGTAAGTTAGTCTTTAATAGGAATTGGTCGTCATCGTTTTAACATTAAGTACTTCAATAAATGTTCATTTTAAAATGCGATGTTGAGATATATATGAATGCACTTTTTGACGAAATGCTTTGTGTTGTAACTTCTACTTTATTTTCTTATTCATATCAGAGGTTTAGTATTTTTACTGAAAATTTCAATAAGACTAAGATAGATGTTCGAAAGTTATAGGTTCACCTTATAATAACTTTAAGATGTACAGCCTGTATCCTTCACTTAGATTTTATAAACACTAGAAAGCAAGTTGGTAATTTAATTTTAAACCGACCACCTTGTCATTTGTTCGATCTCCTTGAGAAAGTTTAACTAGTTGAGTCGCTACAAACAGGTCTGGGACTACTATCATGGAGTTTTGGAGCGGTTAATTGGTAATGTCAGATGATTTATCATGACAGTCTCTGGAGATACGAAAGTTGTCAGCTTCGTTAATGGTAAACTTCTTTAAAATCTACATATTACCAAAGTGACTGGTCTTCCGTGGATACAAAGGTTGTTTATATTGTAAGTGAAAAAAAACGCGTCATTAATCTTAAAAATGTGCCAAGTAGAAAATGAATACGTGGCACGTTTTGTACATTAGTTGTAGATATTGTAAGACTTAGTGTTTGATTACAGCTACGTTTTAGATAACTGGCTAAATGTAATGTTAGCTATCAGCAACGTACAATATTTACTTTTCAACGTGAAGTATGTGGGTTGAGATTCATTAAGTATTACAACCTAGTAGTGCAGTGTGAACTCAACAATTT